CGTTGGACTAGATGACCCACAGAGGTCCCTTCCAACCCCGACCATTCTGTGATTCTGTGATTTTTTATCCCAATCATTCATTACATACAGGTAGTGCTTACTGCAAACCTCCCACACACAGAGTAAAGGTACCAAAAATACCCTAACAGATTAGTGAGCTGGGAAGCGTCTCACACTTCAACAGCCTTGCTGTGTTACATCCCAAGACAGGTCTTGGTCATGAAGCTTATATGTAGCACATCTAGCTTATAAACAGCATTAGAGCTGATACGATAACACTAACTGCAGTAAATGCTATTAGCCCTCAAGCAATACTGTGAGGAAGTTCACAAACACTAGTGATTTGATCTAAAGAAACAACAAGTTGCATCAGGCATAGTCTGAACACGCCCCCCTCAGATTTACCAGCTCCAAGATTCAACTCTACAAATATTCCCAACCCTTTCAAAGCTTCAGGCACATCCCTGAAACACATCTGCCAGTAATGCTTTGTGAAACCAGCTGATGGGTGAGAAGGGAACACAGAACTGAAGAATGAAAGGTGGCATCAGACAGATGAAGAGTTCATGCCAAATCAGCAAAGAGGTTTTTTTCTTGTGAAAACCAGTGTACTCTTGCTAATTAGGGCCAGAATTATGCAGGTAACACCACCTTGTAACAGAAAATATGGAATTCTAAAGGTTTTCGCTGTTTTTTGTTCATGTGACTAATGTGCATAAGTACCCCCATCTTTTTTTTTCCTTTTTTGTATCTGACCAAACAATGCGTAAAAAAAGCCCTCCTACAATACAAACATCAGTGCACTTCTGCTTTGCATGAGCAATAGCGACGGCACGAGTGCAGCCGCGCTGTGTGTGAGGACAGCTCCTGGAGATCACGGTCTTCACCACAAAACACGCAGTGATGGGGTGGCATTGCAGGTTATCTGCCTTCTATCGCACAAAAAAAATAGTATTAGGCACTTCAGTTAAATAATACATGCTGTAAAACTGATTTAATGTTATGTTGTGCTATTCTCTTTGAAGATTTAACTAAAAGATCCCAGCAGGTCAGCAGAAGAGAGGCAGAGAACAAGAAGTCTTCCAAGGTAGGTGGCTGTTCAGAAATATTGTTGAAGTAGGATGGTTTTTTACTTCTACAGTTTTCCTCCATGCATTCAGTTGCAAGGCTTCTACAGCCACTCCCTGATTTAAATTATTCACATATAGTTTGAAGCTCTAAATACTGTAAAAACAGATCCAAAACATTAATGGCAGAAAGAAAACTCTGTGATCTTAGATTAGTTCGAGGTTATTGTTTGGGTTTGGGGGTCATCTTGGTTTTGATTTTGCTTTTGTTTTTTACAGTCCTCTCTTACACAAAATGTACTTTAACCTTGAGCTGGTTTAAGTATTCATAAAATTATTCAGGCATCTGCGGTAAAGATGCATCATTCCCAGTCACACTGCGTGGGTAACTGCACAGGCTCAGGGGCACAAACTCGGCATCTCCCGATTTTTAACTGCAGGGGCCAAAACATTAAAGCAGAGGCATACAAAGAAGTTGGTGCTTGGTTGAAAACGTTAACTAGTAATTTTCTCAGACCAGTAGATTCAGACTGACAGATTTCCTTAATGTGATGTTACCCATAGGTTTCAAATGTGAAGTATTATAGTGGCTGGACTCCTATTTTTTAAAGATTGTCTAGAAGAGTAGAAAATAGCATTTTTACTTTCTTTTTAATATGTCATGACAGCCATTTATAGCCAAACCAGTCATTACTGCAGCGAGAAACATTTAGAGCTCATTCTTTCCTTTCTAATTGATGTCTCACATGGTTAACCGCCCTTGAAATACTTCCTAAATTCACAGGATGACCCAGGTTGAACAGGGCCTCAGGATGCCACTTAACTCCACCTTCAGCTCACAGCAGGGCATCCTTGTGATCAAACTTTGTCAAAGTATTTTGGCTGAAAAGCTCCTAAGGCACTTAGAGACCACAGAACTTTGTACCTTAAAACTGAAACTGGGAAACTACCGACCTGTAAGAGTGCCTTGGGTGCTGGAGGGCTCCAGAGCTCTCTCCCAGGTCCCAGGCACATGCTGACCAGCCCAAAGTTCTCCACCTTTCCAAATCATGGGCAGAGAAGCAGCGCTCTTTGGGTAGCCTGAGAGATCTTTTTCAGCTCATTTACCTGTGTCTGGGGTTAAGGACTCCCATGCTCAGATCTGATGCAAAAAGGATTACCAAGATCCAAAGGAGGCTTGACAAACCAACCATGTGAGGTAGGGCATTGCCAAGTCACCTCCCCTCTCTCTCAGCCTCACAGCTCAGGAAATGAAGTGGGTACCAGCCCCACAGATCAGCAGGGAGGTTTAACTCTTTCCTTCCAAGAGTTTGGTGATCCAGGAGTAATTCCTCACTTTGTTTTGCTGATAACATCATTGTCTTTGCAGATCTTTGTGTCCCTTTCTTTGCTGCTGCTACACTCCTCCCTACAGAGCATTTTCCATTGCTCTATCCAGTCATGTTCCTACTTGCTCAAAATCTGGGGCTGAGGAGCTTTACCCTTTTGCTCAGTAGCTTGGTCTCAAGCCAGCATTTCCCATGCTGCAGTCCCACCCTGTCTCTATATTGCTACTAATACAGGTCTCACTGCTAGCAACCACCTACTCATCTCCAGCCAGAAGCTCCCACAGTTTGTGTTCTTTGCACCTGTGCTTTATTCTGACCCATACTCATTTTGCATTTATATGCATTTTCATGTTTTTCCTTCTAGAAAAATGCTGAACGAAAGACACCTCCGAAACCAAGGCCCGTTCCGGCTGCTGACTGCGTGCCAAACTTCAAAACCTGCAAACCACACTTGAATTCGTGTTGTAACCACTGTGCTTTATGCAAATGCCGATTTTTTCAGACCATCTGCAAATGTCTAATGTTAAACCCAAAGTGCTAAGCCAAACTGGGAACACAATAAGGCTCCTGTCTTTCATTAGCTTCTCAAGTGTATATTTTAAACTGCCCCATGTGTATAGCAATCAAAACAGAGAGCCTTGAAGCTGGCAGCTTGCATTAGCACATCTTAAAATTAAATGTACAATGTTTATTTCTCATGGGCTTAATGCTATCATAAACAGGATGTGTTTTTCAGGGAGCAGACAACCAGGCAGACTGACACTGAGCAGGTATTTGCAGCAACACGTACCTGTGTTTTAAGAAGAATTCTGGGTTCTTCCTGGTTTGGGGGTTTCTTGTTTGTTTAGGATTTGGGGTTCTTTTTGAAGGGTCATATTAAACACAGACTGCAGTATTGTCTCAACAGCACTGCAAAACTTGCACCAATGGCATGCAAACGGCCACACCAGAACAGCACTGGTTAATCCAGGGAAGGACCAAAGCCTGGGTTTGCCCACAAGGACAGCACAGCGCCAGTTTCCAGCACAGCCAAAATATCATCCTGAAAATGCAGGTTTCACAGTTAACTCCCTTTTCACACATTCAGCAAAAATCAGGACACAAATTTATATAGCTTATTCTACCTGAAAAGACAGACCTGAAACGATTAGGCCATTTTTCAGTCATCCCCAGCTGAGCATCAGTACATTCACCTCCAAGGTTTTTAGTCATTCTACCCATAACCAGTATGTCCAAGATGTATAATATACACGGATCTTTGAACCCTGAATGTATCTGTGCCTCATGACTTGGAACGTTTTCCCCAGCCGCGTCCATAGGAATAGAGACCTCAGCTGCCAAGGACAGAGTGCATATAGAGCCCAAAAGCAGGAACACATATCCAGAACTTTGAAGAAGAAAGGAAAAATCACCAAAAAATGAATGTGTATCCCACATGTACATCTTGAAGAAAACCATTACAAGCAATCAACCTCTTTTTCTTTGCACATTCGTACTACAAGCAACTCCCAGCACCTACCCAAAGTGTGAATTTAGGTGGCAATCTCCATGTGCTGCATGCAACCAGTGACCACAAAAAAGAAAAAAATCAAATGCTGTATCAACTCTTCAAGGCTCAGAAACAGCTCTGAAAGCACGGATGAAGCTCAAGGCAGCAGCAAACAGGTGTCTAGAAGATATATTTCTCTTGTTCTTAAGTTCTTTGCCTCAATCTTGAGTTATCCAAGATGGCACAGGGGGAAAGCCCCTCTTAGTTAAGCTACCAGGAGAGATGTGGTAGGTCACAGCAGAGCAAGGAGGGAGCATACCCAGAAGCTGTCCCATATATTGAAGACTCTTCATCTGCCAGACTTCAGCTCTTTTTACCTCTTCTGTTCTGTATCTACAACGTCCCTCTCCCCGACTCCTGTATACTCTTTTTTCTTCTGTGGGCCTTTCTTGATTTTAGTAGTTTCCCTTCATCCCACAACCGCTGTGGTGGCTGGCAACAGCAATGTGCCCTCTCAAGGCTAAAACTACATCTTGTGCGTTCACTCCACCTGGCCTGCTAGATGACTGCACCAGTGCTCTTTAGCATTCACAGTCATATTTTCCAACCGTGAATTTCTATTTCAAATCCTGAATTTTCTAATGCTTTGTGCAGGTCTAACTGAAGAAATTTCTTTACTGATTTATTTCTAAGCGCAGCTGAGGGTTACAAAAACCTTCCAAGCAGGCAAAGATGATACAGATGACACTCTAAAGGGGCTCAAGTCAAGTGAACTTTTTTTTCTTCTAATAATTAATCCAAAGACTGGAGCTCAAAACACGGGTCAGATGTTGACAGAAATGTCTGTTCTTCTTAGAGATATATAGAGACGACACTAATCTAAGGAAGCCCAAACGATGGCAGGATATCATTGTCTTTCTTATCTTTTATAAAATACATCAGCTGTCACATATGATGCAAGCTTGAATTCTTTCAAATGTACATAAGTGTCTTTTAAGCAGATGTCCTGGCTCAGGAATCTGTAAGCCATTCAGTTATGATAAAAGGAGGATGAGAAGGAAGAATGATACATCACGATGGATTTAGGAAACAGAATTTGGCCCCTTTTACTAGGTAAAGATCTAGGTTCCCACCAATTTTTTTCAAAATTCTTATAACTAAGAAATTGTCTTTGGTCAATACTAAAATCATATCAATAATCACACAACAGCTTCTCATGTGGAAACAATATCATTTTCTTAACAGAAAAATTGTATTTTACCAGGGTGGACGGGAGCAGTAGAAGAGGAAAGGGAAGGAAGGAGAGCCAGAAATCAAATAATCAGCTGTTCTCTAGACAGCAGCTCCCACTCCAGCTTTGCAGAATTATAGAACACTTGAGGTTGGCAGGGACCTCTGGAAGTCATCCAGTCCAACCCTCTGCTCAAGTAGGGCCACATGGAGCTGGTTGCCCAGGACCATGTCCAGACAGGTTTTGAGTATCTCCAAGGAGGGATACTCCACAACCTCCCTGGGCAACCTGTGCCACTGCTCAGTCACCCTCATCATAAAGAAAAAAAATGTTAGAGTCTCTCCAGTATGACTATACCTCTCTTGTACCGGGGAGCCCCGAACTGGACACGGCACTCCAGGTGTGGCTTTACCAGTGCTGAGCAGAGAGGAACGATCACCTCCTTGACCTGCTGGCAACAGTCCTCTTAACACAGCCCAGGACACTGCTTGCCACAAAGGCTCATCGCTGGCTCACGCTCAACTCCATGTCCACCAGGATCCCCAGGTCCTTCTCTGCAGAGCTGCTTTCCAGCTGGACAAGCCCCAGCGTGTATTCTTGTATGGGGTTGTTCCTCCCCAGGGGCAGGACTTGGCGCTTCTTGTTGAACTGCATGAGGTTCCTGTCAGACCATTCCTCCGGCCTGCCAGGGTCCCTCTGGAGAGCAGCAGGACCCGCTGGCATACCAGCCACTCCTTCCTGTTTAGCATCACATGCAGACTTGCTGAGGGGACACTCCACCACATCACCCAGATCATTAATGAGGATGTTAGCCACAGCTTGTGGCTGTCAGCTTAGGAAATGGAAAGTGCTGAGACGCACAATGAGGAGTAGAGCATGGAAACTGAACCAGTGAAGCACAGCATGGTGCACGTATGCAATGAAGGAGAAGGAAAGACCCTTCCATATGAGAACAAGGCGATTTGTTTTTCAACGCATACACACATACTTTATAATATAGCATTTATATGTAGCACATTTAACAAATTTGATTCATTAATAAGCCTTTTTTGTCACTGGAATTTATTAGAAAGAGGTTATGCTTTCTTTGCCATTCATCTATCACACCAAAGAACATATATAATCACGTACTCTGAAATTGTTATTAGCCTTCATGACTTCACTGTTCTGGGTACAGACCACAGTGCATGAGGTATTGCTAGGATACAGAAATTGGTAAAACACGTACACCTAATATGTGCTTCCTCTATTTAGTTTGAATAGATAATTACATTAAGGAGTTGTTTTAAGTGTAAGCATTCCCTAAGGATTCCTACGGGACCTATCCAAAATGTCACCAGCACACAGATGATAAAAAATATGCATGACAAAGATGGAGTGTTTCAGTGGTCACATACCAAAATGTCTCCACTGAAAACTTACTCGAATTCAAGCTTAGAGACAGACCCAATACTGCTCCATGACAGAGTCACATTGCTCCTCGAGACTAATGGAAATTTTACTCCAATTACAGCTTGTAGGATTAAGCACAAATAAATCACTATTACCTTTTCTGAATATTGCCTATCTTGTGTGAATTTAAAACAAATACGGTATTTTCCCATCCAAAGTCCTGACGCGATTGCTTATTGTCACACTCAAAGACCATAAAATCCAAGTTTATCCTGGTGGATAAAACAAATGGTAGAATTAACATCTCAATGACTACACCAAACTAGCTCTAAACACCTCAGTTTTCCAAGCTAAATACTGAAACCATCTGGGAGACCCCAGAAGAAAAACAAACAACTTCTCATGTCAGTCTTTAGGATCTTCTCACAGAAGGAAAGATTTGATGAAAGGTAGAAAAAATTTTTCCAAGTTCTGTAGATGAGTCAACACTATCTGTGAAGCTGCTTTGGCCGAGAGTGATGAAAGACTCAAAGTTCCTTTGGGATGCAGAGATAGTGCTAAGCTTGTGATGAGACCCAGATGGAGATTCGCGTAACCAAACTGAGGAGCCAAGGAGGAACACGCCATGCCCAAAGCTGTCTGTGGGAGCTGTTTTACAGTGCAAAAATTACATCATCTTAGTCCTATGGCAAACACGCTTCTTGGAGTACTGTGGGACACACTGTTTGTGAGATATTGCAGTCTTGAGGTCAACCACTGTAAAGGTGTAGACATCAAATTACATCCAAGCCCAATGCAAAAAAGCATTAAATGGTAACATTTTTCATCAAAGCATTTCACCCTGAGGGTGACAGAGCCCTGGCAGAGGCTGCCCAGGGAGCTTGTGGAGTCTCCTTCTCTGGAGATATTCCGTGCCTGGGCAGGTGCCGGTGCAGCCGGCTCTGGGTGACCCTGCTTCGGCAGGGGATTGGACTGGGTGACCCACAGAGGTCCCTGCCAACCCCTACCATTCTGTGATTCTGTGATTTCAAGTTGAATTAGACCACTCTATGGCCAGAAGTGACTCCATAAACAAACTAAACAGACTGATTCAGTGTTTGTTCACATCCAGTGTCCTATTTAACTCAGAGACACAACCATGAGTTGCAGAATCAGGGCTGAAAGAAAATAATTAAAAATAAACTGCCCTAACAGACACATGAGCACTTCAGATTATTTTTCTGTCTACTTCTCAGCGCTGAACTGGTGTCCTTCTGGACAGCCTTCTCCACACAGTGATCCCCAGCGTGCAGAAGGCAACACATGGGGTGGCCTGCTATGCTTACTGCGCTGCAAAATTGCAACTGCCGTTGTAATACCTGGAACAGATTGTCACAGACATTTGATCTCCAAAACTGAAAGTGTACAGCAAACAGCTACTCATTTCCCAACAGAAACATAATC